CTCTCCTGCACAAATCCGTTTTCCTGAAATCAACAAGCACAAAGAGTACACAGTCCTTAAAAAATATGTTTCAGGCTGTCGGAAAGACACTGTGCAGTAAGTATTTAATGAATGGTTGAATGGATGGATGGAAGGCAGGACAGTTGGATAGACGGATGGACCTAGGGTAGACACACATGCTATCCATAGAACTTTGTGTCTTAACAGGTGTCCTCCTTTAAGTAGATTTTTATTGAGTTTTGGCACTGTGCCAAGTCCTTCATTTAGTCTCATGCAATTAGACATTTGTATGTTTTCACCAATCTTGTTTTTCTCTAGAAACACATAGTGTAGTTGTATTTTCTGTTGTCAGTTTGGTGTTGCCATCATCTTTCTTTCTGTTCCTTACAGCCTGTGTTCCCTGCTCCAGCTATACCTACTCTTCATAGATATTAAACATAGCATGAAATTTCATGTTTTATAACACAGGGTTCCTTTTGGTTAAGATGCATTTCTTTAGTATTTTCAGTACCTAGCTCAAATTTTCTCTCTGAATTTCAAAGAACTGGGTCAGCTCTCCAAAGGTCTGGGAATCTAGGGTGTATCATGAGGAGGGCTAGTGCCTGGGCATTGGGATTGCTGTTCATAATCATGGAAAAAGAGCAATTCTGCCAGCACCCAAGTGGGAATTTATGTAAGGTCCAAGTGACCCCCAAAAGGTATCTTGTCCTCTGAAGTAATGAAAGGAAATACTTGTTTTATTACCTGCTGAGAAAGGCATGAAGTACTCGGTCTTCTTAAAGTTGCCACTCTCATCCAGGAAGTGGCCAGGGTCAAACACCTCTGGGTTGGGGAATTGTTTGTCATCGTGCAGCACAGAAGTCAGCGATGTTAATATAGTCGTGCCCTGGAAAGAACACATGAAGATAAACTCTATTACAAAGGAGTCGTGAAGGTGGAGGAAATGTTATAAATTATCTGTTCTGATCTCTGATCTGTACAGATGAGGAATCCTCGGTCAAAAGATGGACAGTAGCATTTTGAGTCAGACAGAACAAGTAATAAACAAGTTTAAGATTAGTGGTAGTGAT